ATGAAGGCAAATTTATGCTTTAAATTAAAACATTTAAGACATGTATGTGCCCTTTTTTTTTTTTTTTTTTTTTTTGAGACAGAGCCTCAAGCTGTCCCCCTGGGTAGAGTGCCATGGCATTACAGCTCACAGCAACCTCCAACTCCTGGGCTCAAGCGAGTCTCCTGCCTCCGCCTCCCAAGGAGCTGGGACCACAGGCGGCCGCCACAACGCCCGGCTATTTTTTGGTTGCAGCTGTCATTGTTGTTTGGCGGATCCGGGCTGGGGTTTCGAACCCGCCACCTTAGGTGTACGTGGCTGGCGCCTTAGCGCCCTTTTTTATTAGTCTTGCTTTCAATGACTTTTTGGATTAACAGATCAAGTACGGGCCCCAACTGCATGGACAGAGAGGCCTCTGCTCCCCTTCTCATGCTGGCCCAGCCAGGGAGGGTCTGTGACTTCCTTATCAAATGTGGCCAAGTGTGACTTAAAAGAAGTGACCTCTTCACACTTTGGATGAGTAATGACGTAACTACAGCCATGTGTAACACTCTTATCTAAGAATTCCTTAGCCTTAACTCCACAGGCAGTCAGCTTTCTCTGGGGGCCTCTCTTCCCACACACAAACGTGGTGCTCCGTGGCTTTCCTGACCGCCTCACCTGGCACTTCTCCCTCCACTTCAGCCATGCTGACCCTCCTGCCCTTCTTCACCCTCCCACGTGTGCTTCTCCCTTGGGGCTCTTCCTCTGTGTCATCTCAGTATCTGGAAAGCTTGTGTCCCGGGCATTCTTTAGCTGACTCCTTCACCTCCTTCAGGTCTCTGCTCAGGTCTCTTAATGAGGCTGGCTCCATCCACCCACTTGGGTCCTGCAACCCGCCTGTCCCCCCAACTCCACCTGCTTCTTCCTATGGTCTTGGCACCATCTCACATGCTGTCATCTTCATTTGGTACATTTTTGTTTAGTTCACATATATATCCTAGAACAATGTCTGGTACATAGTAGGTACTTCGTATTTATAGATTTCAATTAAATTCTGAAGTTTAGAGAAATTCAAAGGTGAACAGAGCACACCATGGAGGCCGTCGGGCACCAAGCGCTGCGGGTGCTGGGAAGGCCCTGCACGCCAGCTCACTGGGAGTACAAATTCCATTTTTGCCTCAGCAAATGTACAAACCCTACATGCCAAGGACCCCTGGGATTGAGTAACAATCAAAACACTGATGTTTAAATCCAAAAATGCCTAGGCTCTTCTTGAATAGTCACGGTTGATCAGCAATCATCCAAGACAACCATCAGGAAGGTAAAGTGGCAAAACCCAAACTAGAACTAAGTGACACCTTGACACTATAACAGAGTGACCAGATTTTAACATTTGTAAAGCGGGACAACATGGCCGCGGGCAGGGCAGGGCAGGGCCTGACAACAAGGCAAACTTTGATAAGCAGTTCTTGATAATCACTTCTCAACAATTATTTGTTATTATTACAGTTTACCATTATAGAATTAACAAAAATAATATAAAACTCATATTCTGGCGAAATAGCCACATGGCAGCCGAAAACCAAAAACCATATATTCCCTTTCTGTTCTCCCGCCCATTCGTGCATTCTTTCAAAAAATCGGAACTTTTTTAAAACGCCTCAGGACATGGGACAACTTGTTCAAAAGTGGGACGTCTGGTCACCCGCTTTTTATAGGGGTGACCCACCCGACATCTGGGTCACCCCTATAATCCCATGGGAAGTGAACTCTGTGACTTTGTCTCTAGATTAGAACTGGGAAGACAGAATCTCAACAAGGAGTCTCGTGAGATTCAACTTTAAAATACTGCAGCACTCCAGCTACTGTTTAGGTGATAAAGAAAATCAAGTTAAAAGTAGCGAGGGATATTATTCCAATTTTCTTGGAATTGGAATTAACCTAAAGCAAGGTTTGCTTCTCGTTAACCTAACGCAAGGTTTGGCAAACTTCTTCTGTAAAGGGCCATCCATAGCAAACCAGTTGGTCACTGTTGTAATTATTCAACTCTGCTGCTGTAGTGCAGAAAAGCCATAGGCGATACACAGACACAGCTGTGTTCTAGTAAGACTTTTCTACAAATACAGGTAGTGGGCAAATTCACCCCATAGGCAGTAGTTTGCTGACCCCTGACCTAGGGTAGAGTTCAACTCTAGGGTTGGCTTCCCCCTTTGAAAGATTGAGTGGGATGAGATAACGATCCCTGGAATCCCTTCTAAATGTCAGCTTTGATGACTCCGAGATAAAATCATTGTTGGCTTCACTGATCAGTTATACTCACCTGGGAAAATCCTCTGACTTACTGGTATGAGCAGCCTTAGCTGCTCCTAATGAAGCCAACACACGTGATGGTGCTTGTGATCAGTTCAGTTCTGGTCCATGAGCAGCTTGGCAAATTGCTCACAGTTGCTAACTAGCAAACCTGTTCGTCTGAACAGAGACACTGATGCTGAGACAAGACGAGGTGTAGCTGAGGAACTTCGGCTGAAGCTTCATCCTACTTCACAAAGTTTATCCTGTCGCACTCTTGTCATTTTCAGATGGTCTTTCAAGCAGACATGTGGCTTCGGTTACCCGGCTCTGGTAGCACTTCTGATGATGTTAAGTAGTCCTGATACTAGTCACATGTGCTCAAATACAAACTAGATGCCCACTTTCCAGTGGACTAGTCAGAGGAAAATTTACCTTTTTATGTAACAGCTTTATTGAGATATAATCCACATACAATCCACCCATTTAAAAAGTATAATTCAGTGGTTTTTGGTATATTCACAGAATTGTACAACCATCACCACAATCAAGTATAGAACATTTTAATTAACCCAAAAGGAAAAGCTGTACCCAACAGTACTCACTCTGTACTCCTCCCTACTCTTCCGGAACAACCAACCTTCTCGCTACCAATTGGTCTAATTCTGGATATTTTGTATAAATGGAGTCATGCGTTCTGTGGTCTTTTATGACTGTCTTCTTTCACTTAGCATGTTTTCATCCATGTGCTGGCATGCATCTGTACCACACATCCGTACTTCATTCCCCTTATAGCTAAAACACAGTCCATTGTACACATGTACCAAATTATGTTTATCCATCCACCAGATGATGGACATTTGGACTGTCTCCACTTCTTCCATGAATAATGCTGCTATGAACAATCACGTACAAATATTTGTGTAGACTAAGTTCTCATTTCGACGGCTGTCTACCAAGGAGGGGAATTGCTGGGTCATATGGTAACACGATATTTAAATGCCAGATGTTTTACAAAGCAGCTGCACCACTGTGCTTCTCGTCAGCAATGTCTAAAGGCTCCAATTTCTTTACCAACACTTGTTGTTTCCTTTATTTTAAAAATTACCGCCATCCTGGTAGTTGTGAAGTGAAACCTCATTGCAGTTTTTTTCATCTGTATTTCCCTAATTGTCTAATGATGTTCAACATCATTTCAATGTGCTTATTGGCCATGTATATGAATTTGAAAAACGTCTTTTCAAATCTTTTGGCACACTTTAAAATTGAATTATTTGCCTTTTTACTCCTGAGTTTTCAGATTCTTTATATATTCTAGACACAAATCCCTCGTCAGTCTTAGACTTACAAATATTTTACATCTTTTTCTTTTTTTTTTCTGAGACAGAATCTTACTTAGTCATCCTCGGTAGAGTGCTGTGGCATCACAGCTCACAGCAACCTCAAACCCTTGGGCTCAAGAGATTCTCTTGCCTTAGCCTCTGGAGTACCTGGGACTACAGGTATCGGCCACAGTCCCTGGCTATTTTTAGAGACAAGATCTCACTCTGGCTCAGGCTGGTCTCTAATCTGTCAGTTCAGGCAATCCACCCGCCTCAGCCTTCCAGAGTGCTGGGATTACAGGCATGAGCCACCACACCTGGCCTCTTACAAACATTTTAGAATTTTAATATTCTCTATAGATTGTCTTTTCACTTAACAGTATCCACTGAAGTACAAAAGTTCTGAATTTTGATAAAGTCCAATTTACCCATTTTTCTCATGTTACTTGTACATCTGATAGCATATCTGAAAAAGCTTTGACTGGGCATGGCAGTTCATGATTGTAATCCTAGCACTATGGGAGGCCAGGGTAGAAGGACTACCTGAAGCCAGGAGTTTAAAACCAGCCTGGACAACACAGTGAGATCCCATCTCTAAAAAAGTTATTTTCTTAATTAGTCAGGTGTGGTAGCATGCTCCTATAGTCCTAGCTACCTGGGAGACAGAGGCAGGAAGATCCCTCGAGCCCAGGAGTTCAAGGCTACCTGGGTAACAGAGAGAGACCCTGTCTCTAAAAATAAAAAAAATTAAAATAAAATAAACAGCCAACGTTAAAAATCATTGATTAATGACAAGATATATATCAGCGAAATCTTATGTTTTATTTATTTATATTGACCCATTACTTATTTATATTCTACCTTATTCTAGAAAGTAATTAAGAAAACTGGTAAGAATTAAAAGTGAACAAAAAAAAAGGGGAAGAAGGGGAAGAATGGAACCTGGAATGAGACTAAAAATGCACACGGCCATGATCTGTACCTTCCATGTAAACTTGAGAAACAGGATGAGAACACAGCCACAAAGACAAGATTCTTGGCAAGTGGGTAAAAGAGGAACTTTCCTGGGTGGCTTTACCAGGATAATAGTGTGTGAGGAAGGTCTGTGTGGGCTTCTCCCAGGCTTACTTGCTGAGCTTTTGGGCAATTGCTAAATCTAGTTTAAAATTACAAATGAAAAAGCCTAAAGAACTAAAGAAGAGCTCTCAGAATGTGAAGAAACAAAGTCCTACGGCAAAGCCCATATAAAACAATACGGCTATGTCTATAGTTAATGATATTTGTTCCTCCATAAAAGCAACTACAGACCAAACAAGAAAACAAACACTGTGTTTTTGTTTCTACTTAGAGCAGCAGGTGAACTCTGTTTAGCTGACCACAACCACACCTGCCCTCCACCTCCCATCTCCCACCAGGCTGTCCCTGTACCTGAATCTGTTTGTGGCGGGGGTGGTCTCCATGTTAAACTCGGCCACTGGCACACCCCTGGCAGACACCTGGGGGGCAAACATGGCGGCTGGGTACACCACAGAGGAAGTGCCCACCTGCAAGGCAAGCACAGAGCAATGCACACGTGGCCACAGACAGGGAGAAGGAGCAATTTTTCAGAAAACCTTACATAAATTCAGGTAAATCTGTGGTTGCAGGGGCAAGGAAAGCCAAGCTAGATGGGACAAAATGGAGAGTATCTAAGGGTTATGTGGAAAGTTAAGAGACATTTTGGCCAATCACTAGAATTTGTGAAGAATAAATGCAAAGAATGGCAAAGGAATCACTTGATTAACATGCTTTGGGGTTAATTCTGTTTTCATTTCCGCATTTTGAATTCATACAAATGGTCCACAACTTTTTTGTATTTTCTAACTTACAACACAAACATTTGTTCATAATCCTA